AAACATAGACATTAAGCCAAAACTAAAAAAAAAAAAGATTGTTTGTATTTGACCTTTGGCATTTTAATTATGATATGTCTTGGTGTGGCCCTCTTTGGGTCCAACTTGTTTGGGACTCTCTGTGCCTTCTGGACTTGTATGTTTGTTTCCTTTGATAGAGTAGGGAAGTTTTCTTTCATTATTTTTCGAATAAGTTTTTAATTTCTTGCTCTTCTTCTTCTTCTCTGGCATCTCTATGGCTTACGTGTTAGCATCTTTAGAAATGGGCCAGAGTCTTTGTATTTTCTTCTAATTAAAAAAAAAATTCTTATTTCTTCATTCTGTTCTGGTTGATTGTTTATTTCTTCCTTATGTTCCAAATCATTGATTTGAACACTGGCTTCTTTCCTTCACTATTGGTTCCCTGTGAACGTTTCTTTATTTCACTTAGTACAGTCTTCATTTTTTCCCTTATGCTTTTGCCATATTCAGTGAGTTCTCTGAGCTTGCTTGTCACCAGTGTTTTGATCTCTGCCTCTGATAGGTTGGTCATCTCTGTTTTGCTGATCTCTACTTCTTCTTTTTCTGGAGCTTTGTTCTGTTTCTTCATCTGGGCCACATTTCTTTGTCTCCCCAACTTGGAAGTCTTCCTGTGCTTGTTCCTGTGTATTAGGTAGAGCTGCTTTGACTCCCAGTCTTATAGTACCTGTTAAGTTGTGTGTGGCACAACTATAGGTATTCCCCATGGCAGAACAACCTGCTTCACCACTTTCTGGCTCTGTATGTAGGGGAGGAATTGGAGAGGGGACGATGTTGAGGCTTTCTCAGAACTTGCCCCATTTCCAGTCACTCCACCCATGTTCCACATGAAACTGGCAGCCTTCTAATTGCTGTTCTACTGGTGGTTCCCAGATAGGGTGCATTTGCATTTTTCTAGGACCCTGTGGGACCCTTAAACAGAATCTCCTGAGAGACTGGCAGTTTCTTCTGCTGCCCTAGTTCCCACTGGTATTTACAGCCAGAAGTTATGAGGCACTGGAACCCTGAGCTGTGCTATATGACCTGTGGCTGGTATCACTCACTCCCAAGGTATCCCTCCCAATTTTATCCACCACACGTGAATGTGAGACCACCTGTTCTGCTGTCTGCCTTGCTGCCACTGCCTTGCCAAGGCCACACTATGTCCTCTTGGCCCTGGCTCCCCATCTCCTCCCCTCCTACCCACCTGGCTGTATATGGCATCTTTAAATCCTTGGTTTTCAGACTTCTATCTAGTTTGATTTTATAGCAGTTCTGGGTGTTTTTATTTAATTTGTTTTGATGTTAGTTGTGATCCTTCTCATGGTTATGCAGGGAGAAGTGTGTCTACCTATTCCTCCATCTTGGCCTAGAGTCTATTTTTTTATTATTTTCATTTTTTAAACTTTTTTGTTAGGTTATAAAAAATAATGACTATAGATTTATCACTCTCTTATTAAACTGTCTTATAATGCTTAGCTCCTGGCATAAGAAGAATACATCTTCTTAAAGATAGTTGCATATACTTTTTTGCATTCACACAGAAATGTACAAAATTATTAACTAAATTATTATAAAATAACATAAAACACTGGAATTTCACCTCGAGACAACCAGCAAACAAACCATACTTGGAAAGAATGTGTCACCAATTATGACTAGTGCTAAATAAATTTTATTTGCTAATTAATGAGAAAAACTTGACTTTGGAAATTTTTTAATTTTGTTTATTATACTAATTATTTTCATTATGTTTCAAATAAATCCTCCTCAGTTAACATTGGCTGAAGTTTTGTCATTTTCGACTCCTAGAATCCTGGTTATGACATACTTCTATTTATAAAGTGAATGTTCCTATCTTTTACATGCTTTTCTGTTAGTCTTATCATCAACAGATTATTTGTAAGGCAGCCATTTAACCAAATAGTTTTGTTGATAGATTTAACCTAATCTAATCACCAGTCCCAAATTTTCTACTGGTTTATTTTGGCTAATTTAAACAATTTCTAAGGAGTTCCATTGTTCTTTTGAAATAACTTCATGTAAATAGTCACTTTCTTTAGCCATTAAATCCACTTTATATTATATGATGACCTCCTTAGTTGGTGATTTGACCTTTAAAATTACACTGAGAAATTAGAAAACTATATGTAAAGGATAATTTATATAAGATGGATATTTACTTTCACTAGTGCCCTTGAAACTATCTGAAAACGTTTGAACTACACAAAAATCCTTCTTATAATAAATCACAAAACGTGTTACTATTTCTATGATTGAGCAAGTCAATGAGTTTTAACTATGCTCTGCTGCCTGCTAACTTGCTCCAGTGAAATTTTATCTTATATTTATAAAGAGCTTGAAATTACCTCCAGTAATTTGTGAGGCTCATCAGTTCCTATTTATAGTTCTCTAATAGTTAAACCTGCAATGGGCATCACTTCACTGAACATCCCTGAGAGATTTATAATCTCATTTACATGTTGATCCAACATGGGCTGGCATTTGTGATAACCATCCAAAGACCTTTATACTCTTTACAAGACTCCCCAGTAAAACACTGGCACTAGTTTGGAAGGTTGAACTTTATGGTGTTTTAATTGTTGCTGTTCACTATTGTTTTAAATCATTAGAGGGCATATATGTTAAACATGCTGTAGTTCTTTATCAAAAACTAAAGAAAAACACAAAATGACAATTACTGTTGTTACTCAAACATTATAGGCATGCATCTGGAATATAATTTACTATCTCTATTATTGTAAAATGTTTTTAAGATCATTGATAGCCATTTTAGCTGTTTTATATTATCCAAAATGGGTAGTAAATCATTTGTGTCATTTTCATACTTGGTATGCTGTAGGGAAATATCATAGTGGTCACAAAACTAAGTCAGTTAAAATAGTAATAAATAAAAGTAACTCTGGGCATGATGCACCATACCTCTTGAAATATTTTATATAATGTAATTTAGGTAATGTAATTTCAGTACTAATTACATATCAATAAAAATGTTGTACTTGCTTTTTAATGCATAATTATTGCAATAGTTTTAAAAAGCTAGAGAAAATAACAAAATTATTTTTATAATATACATAAACTAAGAGATTAAATATAAGCTTTAGTTAGAGCACCACTATGTTATCACTGCTAAAGTCTCACCAATGAGATAGAAAACAGGGAGACAGAATTATTATACCACCTGGATGATATTAGAAATCTTTTTTACCTATTGTACTTCATTTGAATACTTATGGATTAAATAGTATCCTCATTAAAAAACCAAATGGATTACAAAGTAGTAGAAGCAGTATTGTACGTCATTATAGAATATTGAAAACCTGTTAGTCTAACCCAAAGTTAATAATTCACTGCAAAGGATTTTGGAGATATCAAGTGCTACCAGAACTCTTTATGTGGCTCTTGAAGGTCAACACTAACTTTTATAAAGGCTGCCACAAGTACTGTAAGACATGTAGTTTTGCATTTGTGTTGTGTTATACTATAAGTTAGAGTAGCAGACAGCATTATAACTAGAACTTGTGTGATCAGACACTTCAAATTACACTTCTATGTAGACACTGAAAGTTCCTAACTAAATACTGCATTCTATGAAGACATTACTTCCTTGTGAATTGGCACCACTCTTAGGAACCCAGGAATTATTCTTCTAAAGAATGTTTGAGGACTGGAAGCATTGTTACATGGTCTGTTTTTCTCTGATGACCTCCATTGTCTTGGTATCTATTTTTGAATATTGTAAATACAGCTACTCAAATTTTCCCATGATTAGTTTTCTCATGGTACAACACTTCCCCTTTCCTTTTTTAACCTGTCTGGGTCTTTATATTGAAACTGGATCTCTAATGTAACCCAGAGCACTGAACTATCCAAACAAATATTGGTCTTAGCCCTGGAGTGGAGCACTACTTGTTGAAACACCCCCTACTCAAGGCTAATGAGGAGAGAAGGCAGGGACTTGCAGAATTTTCTGCTGCTACTCTGTCAGGAGAAGAGTCTAGAGGGAGAAAACATCATGTACTCTTTTTTCCTAAAAATGGCTTGAGATTCTAGCATCTCATTGTAGGAATCACAGAAATAATATTAGACTCATAAACTGCTTTCTTCTACAGAAAAACATTGTTCATTTTTATATAATCCAAATCAAGAGTCTCTGATTTTAATTGTAGTGTTTTTCCATTTACTTTCAATCTAGTATTTGATATGTTTGTGTTTCAATCTTGAGATTTTCTGTGTGTTCTATTATCTAATCTGTTTTTGTTCCTTCATCTTTTCTTCTTCCCTTTGAATGTCATTGTTATTTTTCTTCTATCATGTTATATGTGTTTAATTTTGTTTTTATGTTTGTTTTATTTGTGCACATTTTCCTGCTTTTTGATTACATTGTAGGTTAGAATCTGCATCCTCCATTTGTTATGGTTACCTCGACTAAATATCATAGCCACTTCCTATGATGTAATAATTTATAACTATAATGTAACAATTTAAAACAAAATTCTTCTAAACATGCTACTCTCCTTCTTGGTTTCTTGTTATGCACTTTACTTCTTTATATTCTACACTATGACAATTCACTATTATCATTTTTCTTTAAACAGTCAGTTGTCTTTTAAAGACAATTTTTAAAAAATTAAAAAACTGGCCCTGGCTGGTGTAGCTCAGTGGATTAAGCACAGGTCTGCGAACCAGAGAATTGCAGTTCGATTCCCAGTCAGGGCACATGCCTGGGTTGCCGGCTGGTTCCCTGCAGGCCAGTTCCCAGTGGGGGATGCATGAGGGGCGGCCATACATTGATGTTTCCCTCCTTCTCTCCTTCCCCTCTAAAGATAAATAAATAAAATCTTTAAAAAAATAAATAAATAACTTCTATTCATGCTTTGGATCTTACCTGAGACCTCACTTTCCCTAGGATATATACTCTGACACCCTAAGTTCAGGTTCTTTGCCTCTCATGGTTGCTCCCCATGGCCCCTAGAACGCACTGCATCACATTTACTACGCTCATGTTTCCCTCCTCTGTTAATTGCTAAATCACTGAAAAAAAAGAAAAAGAAAAAAAAGAAAAAAATTAAAAAACTGTATTTACCCACATATTTCCCATTTCTCCTGTTTTTAAAATTATTTTGTGTAGTTCCAAATGTCTATATTTACCACTAACTTTCAGCAAGAAATAATAGATTAACTTACTGTCCATAAAAAGAATATATTAAATTATTTTATATGGGTTGTCAGTGGAGAAAAGGAGAATGCTCCTGTGTTGCTTAGGGAAGAACTCACAATTGAATAATTTTTATAGACTGAATGTTTGTGTTCTCCCAAAATTCACAAGTTAATGTTCAGTGTGATGCTATTAGGAGATGGGGGCCTTTGAAAGTGATTAGCTCATGAGGGTTCAGCCCTCAGAATTTCATTAGTGATGTTAAGAGAGAAAATCCAGAGAACTGCCTGCCTCTTCGGCCTTGTGAGGACACAGTGAGAAGATAGTTATAAATGAACCAGGAAGCAAGTTCCCACTAGACAGCAAATCTGCGGGTAGCTTGCTTGTGGCCTTCTCAGCCTCCAGACCAGTGAGATATACATCTTTGTTCTTTATAAACCACCCAGTCTCTATGATTAGTTATAGCAGTTCAAACAGACTGCTGCAGTTGTAGTGCAGGCTTTTGAGAAAAGAATTAGTGGCAAGCAGGTCAAGGAGATTGACTAAGACCTTAGGAAGACCCACACTCCACAGCTATTAATTCCATGCACTTTAGATCTTTTGCTCACTGTTCAGGGTTTTTCTTTTGTTTATTTTCCCCCATCTGAAAGCATAGGTGTTCCAGACTAAATTTCTTTCCCAAGTCCTAGTCCTTGAAACATCCCCTGGACAAGATCAGGAAGCTAACCATGAATGAACCTGAGGAGTTGCCTACTCCTACCTGGTCAGGAAGAAAAGGTCAGAGAAAAACTTCCTTTTTTCCCATCAATAGAATAACATGAGTTTCTCCCATCTCAGAATGGAATTATGTAACTATATCACTGTAGAAGTAATATTAGACTCTCAAACTGGTATTTTATGGAGGAGAAACTATTAATATATACATGAAAATTTGCATACAAAAGTCAACATGATATATAGTAGACCTATAATGTGTATACACTTAAAGGGTATACTAAGCTCTCACTATAGCATATCTTAAGTGTTAAAGGCAAGTATATATATTTATGATAAATGCTATATATTATATATTACTACATATGCACATGTATAAATGTCCATATATATACATATTCAAGTATATTCTACTTATCTGATTTTATATTAGTTTCCTCTTGCTATTGTAAGAAATTACACAGGTTTATTATTTTATAGTTGTTGAGATTTATAGCCTAGAATGGGTTAGCAGAGCTATTTTATTTTTTGTCCCTCTGGAGAGAATCTGTTACTTACCTTTTCTAGCTTCGCAAGGATGCCTGCATTTCTTTGCTTGTGCTCCTACATCTCCCTGACCTCTACTACTTTGTCACATCTCCTTTTTTGATCCTTCTTCTTTCTTCTTATAAGGACACTTGTGAACATATTGGGCCCAACCAGAGAATCCAAGTGAAGCCAAAAACTCCGAGATGATCTCCCCATCTCACCATCCTTAATGTAATCAGTGTTCTTTCTGTCATGTAAGGAAGCTTCAGGATTCAGGCATTCAGATGTAGATTTGAGTTGTGAGAGATGTATTTTTTCTGTCACTGCAGCTTTAAAAAATTAGAAAGATAATATCAACAATTTATACTTGGAGATATGTTGAAACATTTTTAGTTGTTTTACTCTAATTTGTTAAAATTATTAGTCATTAAACCAGACCCTCAAATAGATCTGAAGCTTTTAGGAATTACCATATGAAGGCAATCTTCAAATATATGACATATATTACTCTGTTGATAAAGTTTATTTTTCTTCTTCTAGATATCTACCTAATTAAATGTTTATTTTCAAAATCTATTATGTTAATATCGATAAGACCCATCAAATGCACTATTTCATTACCTTGAAATGACTCATTTTCTTCTAGGTAGTTGGTAAAGCCCCATTGCACAGTAATAGGTATTTAATGGCAGAGCTCCTCAATTAAATCTCCAGGATTCCAAGAATGTTCTTATCTTACCTTGCAAATGTTATTATCTGCAGATGCACTTATTGGCTCAAGATTGTCTCAAAGGTGAAAAGATCCTCATTATGAAGCCACAGGTTAAGAGGATAGTCATCAACCTGCTACTGAAATAATTGGAAGTGGTGATTTTGCATCCACATGCATTACCTTTAATGATGTCATATACCAAAGTAGTTTGGTCTTCGGCCCTTTATTAGAAACTTAATTTCTTCCTGAAATGAGTTTTACACTTTCTATCATTTTGTCCTTTATATTTTGCAATGGTTTAGCTAGTCTTTGGATCATTAATGTTATTTTGCCTATTTAGCCTACCTGTACCTTCTTGCCTGTATTTGTGTTTGACTCAGTCAATCTCAAATCTGAACATAATTCCCCATTAGTCTGAAGGTCAACTTCTGGGCATCTCAGTTAACCAGTTCAAGCCTGACATATGAACATACATCAATACACATGATACTACTAAAAGATAATAATTGGACATCTTTTGAAAGAAAAGGAACAAAATATCAAACATAGTATGGTATCTTCTCAGAATGAACATTTAGAGGGTCAAAATTTTCTCTATCTTTTAAGAGAAATTTACAGGTATAGATTTAATGCTCAAATATCACCTGTATGCTATCTATTGACCATGATACCCATAGAACTTTGAACTGCTCAAGAAAATACTTCAAGTAGTCTGTAATAATCCATAATTTATCATCACTTTCACTGTGTAAGTTTCTCCATTCCACTGTATCGGGGGTGGGGGTGGGATAGTGCCTTAAAAATGGAAACAGAAGCCCTGACTGGTGTGGCTTGGTTGGTTGGGCATCACCCTGCAGAGCAAAAGTTCACAATTACCTTTCAAAGTATGTGCCTGTGGTGTGGGTTCAGTCCTTGGTGCGGTGCATGAAGGGGAAACCAATTGATATTTCTCTCTCACAATGACGTTTCTGTGCCTCTCTTTCTCCTTCTTCCCCTTTCTCTAAAAGTAAGTATATAAAAGCTAAAAAATGAGACAAGGTTAAAAGCATTTCAAATATTTTAACAATATGATTTTCAAACATTAAGTTAAATATTTAATTTGAACCAAATATGTTCTTCCTCAGCATTGTCCCAAATAAAGAGAAATTATTCATACACAGTATTTCATAAATAAATTCTGTAGTGAAAATATTTTCTTTTTTTTTTTTTTTCTTTTCACAGTGTTTATTTAACTTGCTTTGTAGTCAAGGCACATAAGAGACTTTGATTTGGAGAGGTTTTCTTTTGAAGGTGACAAGCTAGCTTTCACTAAAACATTAATCCTCTGGCTATTTATCAGAGACTAGAGACCATAAGGGCATCATAGAAATATACTAGGAGTATAAAGAAAATCTTAGTACTTTTGAAACTCAAGGATATTTCCACACTACACAAAACATTTGAAAAGTATATATTTGGAGTTAAAATAGAAGTATGAGACTTCAATCATTTATAATAAACAGATTGAAAAAAACTATAATTTAGTGAATTTCTCATTTTTTTTCAAGGGAATGTAACTCTACTTTTATTTTTTTTTAATTTTATTTAGTTATTTTTCAAGTACAGTTTTTTGTCTATTTTTCCCATCCCAGCCTCCCCTGCCCCTTGCTCCCCACCTCCCTCCCATTTCCTCCCCCCCCTTAGTTCTCGTCCCTGTGTCCTTCCTATTTTGACCCAGCAATTCCACTGCTAGGATTATATCCTAAGAATCCTAAAACATCAATATCAAAGAACCTATGCACCACAATGTTCATAGCAGCACAATTTACAATAGCCAAGAGTTGGAAGCAACCTAGGTGCCCATCAGTAAATGAATGGATCCAAAAATTGTGGTACATATACACAATGGAATTCTATGCTGCAGAGAGAAAGAAGGAGCTACTACCCTTTGCAACAACATGGATGGAACTGGAAAGCATTATGCTGAGTGAAATAGGCCAGGTGCTGAAAGACAAATACCATATGATCTCACCTTTAACAGGAAAATATTTTCTTTATTTTATGTCATCTTAGACTGAATGAAATGGTAATGAGTTCCTAAAAAAATATAAAATGGATAGATTTGTGAGAAAGCTGGGAGCTGCAGGAATGTGCAGACCTAAGTGAGAGATAAGGGGAAACAAGGAGTGCAAGAAAGTCTTGGATTCCCCAGGACAAAGGGTAAGTTGATTTCCAGCGTGTTAATAGGAGAATTCATTTTAGTGATTGCTTAAATGCAAAGCCTTCTTTGATTCCTTTTCCATTTTAGTCAGTATTTATCACACTCTTAACATAATTGCTCTAAAATGCTTGCATTATAACATAAAATACCTTCTTTGATGGGTAGCAGTACATTGGTTTTCCTTTTTTCTTCTCACAGCTTTTCAGTGTTGGGGACCACCCATAGTTCCCAGAAAGGAATAAATCATCAGGAAACACAAATCTAGATGCTTCTCAATTACTGAACATTCATAATGGCCCTTTTTGCTTTTTTACTTGTACCTCTGATTTTTCAGAACTGGATTTACTGTCAACAAATCTTTGCTCTGTGCAATAAATACCAATGTGTTTAATGATGGTAAGAACAGCGCATTATCACAGTCTAACTTTCAACATTCGGTTCACATTTTATTTGGATCATACAATATTAAATGCATTTATTTTTTATTTTTTCATACAAAATTGAACATATTTAGTGTACACACCATAATCAAGGTGCTAAATATATTAATCACCTCCAAAATTTCCTTGTGTTTTGTTTGTTTCTGTAATAAGAACACACCATGAAAACTACCCTTTTACTGTATTTTGCAGTTCACAAGACTGTATTGCTAATTAAGCTCTGGAGACCTGTTGTGAAACAGGTCTCCAGAGCTTATTTATCTTTTATAACTAACCCTTTACACCCATTGACAAATTACTTCCTCCTTTTTCTCTCCCCAGTCCTTAACAACTCCATTTTATTTTCTACTTGTATCAGTTTTACAAATTTAGGTGTGGTATACAGGTGGAGTCACACAGTATTCATCTTTTTGTGACTGGCTTTTTGTCTTAGCATAATTTTTTCTAGGTTCATTCATGTCATTATAGGATTTCCCTTTTTTAGGCTAAATATTTATTATTTATTATGCCATATTTTCTTTAGCCTTTCATCTGTGGATGAATTGTTTTTTCATAAATAAAATATTATCTTTTGATTATTTTCCAAGTAAACTTAGTAGAGTAACATAATTGTGAAATATAAAGTATAGAATACATTAACAAATTAATCTGATAAATAAAATTTATAAATAGAACCTTAAATAGTACCAGAGTCCTCATTATGTTCCTAGTGTCATCATATATTAAAGTTATAGTAAACTGGTTACAGTAAATGAGTTTTAGAGATTTAGGAAAATGCAGTTTTTCTTTGTCTTTCTCTTGAAACAGAAACTTTTATCTTCTGAAAATAAAAGTAAATTATTAACTTACCTGTGATTCGATTGAATAACAGAGTTCAAAATGATTTAAAAAATACTTTATCTGAGACACTAGAAGGTATCACAAATTTATTAGAGCAAGTAAGTAACATTTTTCTTTGCTTTCTAATCATTTTATTGTATTATAGGAAAAAAGTCTTATGAGCTTCTGTTTCTTTCTCTGTGTGGGTATAAATGTTTGTGCATTTGCCTAAAATCATATTAGAATAGTTAATTGTTTTTAAAAGTTAGGAATATTTTTAAGAAAGTCTTGCAAAAATATTTTCAAAATCAAGAGAGTGAATATAGAAGGTAAGAACTGTTATCTATAGTTATCTTTGTCATACACCTTATTACTGAAAAATTCTAGCAATTTTTCTACATTTTTCCTCATTTATAGTCTTCACTACTTCTGGTGGATTAAGCCAAAATCTACATTAGACTTTCAGGTACCTAGTTCTAATTTTTATTTTCTTCAACCCATAATCATCCTCTCCCATGGTTGTATTCTTGGTGGTCATGTCATCGCCAATATTGTACCAGCACAAAAACCGTCCTTTCAGGTTTCTGAATCTCTTAGTCCTAGGTTCATGTGAAGCATCCACTCTTCTGCCTTCATTTTCTTCCTTCATTAGGCTTTGCTACAATTAATATCATGGTGCATCATTATTTTCAGTCTGTTTATTCTTCCTGGTACACAGCTTTGTCATGTCATTTTTCTCTGTAAGATGATGTATATATTTTGGCACTTACTCAACACACCTTAGATGCATCATCTCGAGCTAGAGAATCTTGTGATAATCACTACATCAGCTCCCCACATGACCTCTTGTGGTCCAAACTGCTATTAGTTAGATAAGCAAGTTAACTCTTTCCTACTTTCTGTTTATATGATATCAGAAGGAAAGTAGGACACCAACGATAAATATTGGCATTTGTAACATCAAAAATAGAAGACACAGAACGAACAGTAATTGACAGCATGTGTGAAATTCTGCTCAGCCCCAGTTCCCTGGTTCTGCTCCCAATGTATCACTCTTTCGTACATCGTCTCCATACCTCTTGGTTCTGCTGTTTGGAGATGCATTTTCTGTCTTTCCACTTGGTCACTTCCAAATAGGGAACTGCACAATGACACTCCTCCCCATTCTTTTGCAGCCTAGTAGGTTTTTCAGATGATTTTCTGTCCACTGAAATTTGGAGATCCATAAATATTTTTAATATCTCAAATAATCTTGGTTTCTTAAATTCCAAACTAGAAACGATTTGCAATACCACTGTCTCAGGCAAATTGTGGGCATTTGATGCATTTGATTGCAGTTAATTATATGCATAAATTGTCCCCTTCAAATACATATGAAATATGATTTTCTCTCTATATGTATGTATCTTGAGTGAATAGACCTTTGTGAGACTGTAACTTTAAGCTTTACAGAAACCTTTAATTCCAATTGAAAAGATTTAATAAACGCAATTTTGACCCTTGCAGGATTCTTTTAAAAGTGTGTCTGGGTCTTTGCTCCAACTCCATGTTTCAGTGCAGCAACTTGAATCAGTTTTTCTCCTCAGTCTGTGTGCTAATGACCACATATTTGATTTAGTGAGTTTTTTTCCAATTCTCATGCAATTTCTGAACTCTATATGCTCACAGAATTCTGCTGACACTATGATGTTATATCTTTCTTTAGTGTTTTATCAAATACAGTCAGTTAACAACCTGACTTTCAACATTCTGCCACCCATTTTTCCTCCAGCAGTAAAACTAGATGGGTTTTCTAATGTGGGAGAAGGAAGATGAGCAGGGCAGGGCAGAGTAATAGGGGGAAATGAGTGCAACTGTCCTTGAACAGCAAAAGATAAAAATAAAAATAAACAAAGTTAAGGTAGGTGAGTCATCAAATATTTGCCACTGCTCAACATGAAAAACAACTTTCCAAATTTCTACAGCATTTGTCATGCTGTCTCCAACTGGTTCCTTAAGTCAATTAACCTACTTAAGTCAATTAACATCACACATTTTAATTCTTTGTTACATTTGTGATAACTTCTGTAAATAAGATATATGAACAATAATGCTGTGCAATAAATCACCCAAAAATGGTGTAACACACATCATCTATGTGTTACAACGATAAACATGAATTTCCTTCTCATGCATTGTTTATGTAAGTGCTTAAAACAGCAAATAAACAAACATGATTTTTTATTTCCCATGACCCTGTGGGTGACCTGAGTTGTTTGGAGGGGTTTTGCTTGGGCTTATTCGTTGGGTAGACTAGGCGCTGCACACTCAGTAGGAACAGATGAGGCAGCTGGGGGCCACCTTTATCCTGAATTTCTTCACAGGGTGATAAAAGTGAAAGATTGAAAATTCCTGAAAGCATAATTTTATCATTTCTACATCACTTTATGGCTGAAAGGAAGTAAAAAATATAGCCCAGAATTTTCAAGGAAAAATACAGACAAGAAAAAAGTGACTCAAGAACAATCAGGAAATAACGGATTAATAATAATACTAAGCATGATATAAACAGAAAAATGATTTATTTTTGAATTGTTTTGCATACAACTTAAGCACTCCATGAAAATATCGGTTTCTTGTAAAAAAGAGATATTGCATAATCCTTAGATTATAAATTCAAATAGTATTGCTTTGGGATTATTAACTTTTTCTCAAATCAATGTATGTGTTAACCTCTATAGGTTGTCTTTAAATTATTATTATTATTATTTACAAAATTAACTGTCTATTTAGTTTATATATAAAGGCTACTTGCCTTTAAATATGTTTGAGGGTGATATTGGCACTTGTTGAATGATGTGTACATATCTTCCCATCTATTAGACTAATTGTGCAATTTCTTAAAAGTTACCATTTTTCACTTGAAAGGTTTTAAAATAGAATTTAACTTTACTTCAGTCAAAGATGTATTCATAGAACTACTTAATTAAGCAGAATATTATGGATCCACAAATCTCGACAATGGTTAAACTGTCCATACAGAAACATTTAATCCCAATGATAATGTAGTTACATGATTACAAAATTCATGGGTGGATCCAAAATAGAATGAAACCAGATGCAATTATCTACTTTATTTAAAATAAGAATAAGTACCAAGACAAATACATATGAATACATTTGTTAGTCAAATCTGACCATGCATAACACAGCAAGAAAAAATATATCACTAAAATACATTTTACACTCTTGAAACAAGTTTATTTCAGTGTCTTTGAGGATATTAACAAAGCATGGTGTTCTGTTTTACAGAAACAATTTGTGTTGTTGAATAATACGCATGATAAATAATGTGTGGGATTTTGTTATTATGTATTCAACTAACACACTTGTCAGATAAAAATGTCTATATGGCAGATAAAAAATTGTTAAAATGTCTAATGCATTCTTGTTCCTTTTGAAAACTCAGTGTAAGATTATTTGATAATAGAGGGCTGATAAATCCATCTTAAAAGTGGGCTGCAAGCCAATTCTGTTGTAGATGTTCTGTATCCAGACTTCCTAGTGCTGTCAACTAATATCACTTAATATCTATTTGGTTTATTTTTTAAATCCTCTGTGCCTTAGATTCCTCATATTAAAATGGACAGCTTCCATCTCCTAGGGCAAAATAAATAAAGGAAAAAATAAACAAATAGGACTACATTAAACTAAAAAGCTTCTGAAAGGCTAAAGAAACCATCATCAAAATGAACAGGGAACTGACTCTATGGGAGAACATATTTGTCAATGATACATCAGGGTTTACTCTCCAAAATATATGAATAATAGATATGACTCAACACCAGGAAAAGAAACAATCAAATTAAAAAATGGACAAGGACCTGAATAAACACTTCTCCAAGGAGGACGTAGAGATGGCCTAGTGATATATGAAAGGGAGCTCAGCATCACTGGCCATCAGAGAGATGCAAATTAAAACCACAACGAGATACCACCTCACACCTGTCAGAATGACAATCATTAATAAATCACCAAACAAGTGCTAGTGAGAATGTTAAAAAAAAAGGGATGATTTGTGCACTGTTAGTGGAAATGCAGACTGATGCAGTCATTGAGTAAAACAATGCGGAATTTCTTCAAAAAATTAAAATGGGACTGTCTTTTGACTCAGTGATTCCGCTGCTGAGAATATACACTAAGAATCCCGAAACACCAATTCAGAAGAACCTATGCACCCCTACATTCATAGCAGCGCTGTTTATAATAGCCCAATGTTAGAAGCAAACTAGTCCCCATCAGTAAATGAGTGCATCAAAGAACTGTATTTCATTTATACAATGGAATACTATGCAGCAGAAAGAAAGAAGGAATCCATACTTTTGTGACAGCATGGTTGGAACTGGAGAATATTATGCTAAGTAAAATAAGTCAGTCAGCTTAAGACGAATACTATATGACTTTACTCATAAGAAGAATCTAATGAACAAAATAAATCAATGAGCAAACAGAACCAGAGACATGGAAACTCAGAACAGACTAACAGCTGCTGGAGGTGAAGGGCCAGGAGGGCAATGGTAGAAAGAAGGGGAAGGAGTTAGTCAAAGACACTGTGTGAATGACCTGTGGACAATGACAACAGTGTGGAGATTGACTGCGGGAGTGAAGGGTGGGCTGGGCAGAAAAAGGCAAAGGGGGAAAATTGAGGCAATGCTAATACAATTGATGATAATAAAAAAGTGTAGACAGTTCCCTGCCGTTTTCAATGATATGTAATAAGGATGAATGTATTCATTAAGCATCAAATTTATTATTGGGTTTGGTCAAACTATGATGAAGGTTCAGTTACAGATATTTCCACAGGAAATGATCAAACCAGTGTAATATTTTTATCTTAAACTGAGCTTGGAAATATGCTTAAAGTTTTTTTGATATGCCCCTTAAAATGTGCTTTATTTTAGCTCCTGCTATTTTCACATTAATCATAACAGACTAATAAACATTGGTTGACAAACTGTGAGTTATTGGTAACTGAAATTCTTTTTAAACCAGTATTTTATTATTATTTTAAAGAAACTTTTTGCTGAAAACTTTCCAGCATTTGAAAGCACCATTACACTAAGGAGTTCTGACCAAGTTGGAGGCCTAGGTAGATATGCTTTGCCTCCTCACACAGCCAAAAGAAACAATCATTTAAAAAACAAGAAAACAATGAGAACTGCCAGAAAACTGAACTGTATGGAAGTCTGACAACCAAGGGGATAAAGAAGGAACATCCATCCAGAATGACAGGAGGGATGAAAACAGGTAGCTAGGGTGGAGATGATGCCCCGCAAGGTGGCAGCTGGGGGACTGGGTGACCAAACATTCATGTGAGGATAAACCAGGAGGAATAACTGGGAAGCAAGATAGGCTGCACAACCCAGAGTTCTAGGGTGGGAAAAATAAAGCCTCAAAACCTTTGACTGTAAAAGATTGTGGGGGTTGTGGCAGTGAGAGAAACTGTCAGACTTTTGAAAGCAGGGCGAGAGATAATCAAGCAACACTGCTCCCTCTCTGGCCACTCCCCAACAGCTCCACAGCCTGGCAAAGTGGCTTGGCCCTCCCTGGTGACTACCTAAGGCTCCACCCTTTACAACAACAGGTGCACTGAGGCAAAAAAATGTGGCACAAATGGAA